TAGGCAAGCACTTGTAGCACAAGTATACTCCCAGCCCTACTACAGTTTTTTTTTTTTTTTTTTTTTTTAAATGCCTTATGCTGGGCCTGATAATGTGTGTGCCTGCAATCCCAGCTATTTGGGAGGCTGAGAAGGGAGGATTGTGTGTTCAAGATCAGCCTGTGCAATTTAGCAAGAACCCATCTCAGAAAGGAAAAAAAAAAGTTCCTTAGAAAAAGGCATGGCTCCTCACCCTGCCCCTCAGCTCAGAGTACTTCAGAGATGTTATTGGCATTGGGTGGAATAACTCTTTGCTGTGAGAGCTGTCCTGTGTCTGTAGGCCACCAAGCAGCATCCCTGGCCCCTGTCAGCCAGATGCCAGCATGCCCCACTCCAGGACAACCAAACTTGTCACCAGACACATTGCCAGATGTCCTGGGGGTGTCGGAGTCGCAGAATCTTCCCCAGCTGGGGATGAGCTTCTCACTTGAGCCGGAGGCAGATGTCCCAGGGCAGGGGCAGGGGCTTCCCTGGTAGGAAGGCACAGGTCAGCGAACCCTGAGGGCCCTCCGGAAGTGGCGGGCAGGGTTGAATACCCAGAACAGAACTTTCTGGGTTTGGGGCTGTGGGCTACAGTACTGCGATTTCCTCCAGTCTGAGGTATGCTCTTTATGACTGCCAGTGGCCCTACCTGGGTCCCCCCATTAGAGAGGAAAAAGATTGTGCTCACACTGCTGTCCAGTTCTGAAGCTGTCACCTGCGTTACTGCCCTCTGAGATGTTGGGAGGATGTGTGTCTCAGGCACTTGCTATGTCTCCTTGCAAAGGCACTAAAAGCAAACAGAAACAGCTGGCCTAGCACATCTGTCTGACATGGCGGCAGGGCTGAAGCTCCCCCCCAGCTCGGAGTCGGGTGTTCACACTTCTCCCGGGTCTTGTGGTTAATGAATCAGTTGTGGATAGTCACTGAGCACCTGTCACTGCGCTGCTCGGGCTGAGTCTAGCTGGATTAGCCAAGTCCCTGTGCTCACAGTCGACAGGCTAATGGGGTTGGGGAGGGGAGGAGAAGGGGAGTTTAGGGCGGGCTTGGAGGTGCTCTGCAGGAGTCCAGGCCCAGCTGGAGCCCCCACGCTGTCCTTAGCGGAGCTGCCCCTCTTCACGAGTGCCTGACTCTTCCCCGGAGATTCGGAGCTGCTCCCAGCCTTGGCCTGTGGATCCCCTTCCTTCCTTCCTGTCCATGGTCTCCTGCAGGTGGACTTGGCCTGCCCAGTTACCTGGGTCCTAGAGAGACCCAGTGAGGGTCACGCTTAGCCCAGGGCATGAGTTCTTGCTGGTTGAGCAGCATCCCAGCCTGACCGTGGCGGGAGTTGTCAGCGCACCTGAATCCAGAGCTCCGCAGACCCAGAAAAGTGGACTTGGGAATGCAGATGTCTGGAAGAGGAGCCAGTATGCACAGTGGGATGTGGGAAGGCTGTCCTCGAAGGACTCAGTGGGCTGGGCTCCTGGGCTGGGCTGGGTCTCGAGCTGGCTCTCTTGGGTCCCTGCGCTGTGAAGCTGGCCGTTGACAGGTGAGCCCCACATTGCAGAGAGGCCATGTGATCCGCAGGTGGGAAGTGAGTGGCGGTGGAATGGTCCTGAGCAGCTCTGCAGGCAGCGAGCGGTCAGAAGGGAGGAAGACACAGCCGTGGTGAGGGATTAGCTGTGACCAGGCAGCACCTGCACCCCCTCCCCTGGGTGAGGGCCTTGTGGTGCCTGACATAGCTGCAGTCCAAAAGGTGGCTACCAGGGAGTGGTGTGCACCCTTTCTGGGCTTCTGCACAATCCAACTTTCTCACACAGATGCCAGAGCCTTGGCATTGTGGTGCCCACTGTAATCCCAGCACTCTGGGAGACTAAGGCAGGAGGATTCCAAGTTTGAACCTACCCTGGGCAATTTAGCAATTTAGGAGACCCTGTTTGGGGGAAGAGAAAAGGCTTGAACTTTTCAGGATGACAGGATTACACCAGTGAGGTCATTCTAGGCCAGAGATGCCTCTTTTGCCTAAGCAGTTAGGTGGAACAGTCTGGGGAGGAGGGCTGGACACAGGCTGAGGCAGTAGAGGGTCTGCTTGCTCCACTTTGGTTCCTGCGCCTGGCTGCCCTGGCTCTGCTGGCCTGAGCCTGGAGGCCTTCTCCTCCCTCCAGGTGCTGCTGCTGCTTGCTGCAGCCTCCTGGGCCCCAGGTGCTGAGGAGCACACAGCTCCCACGGGAACTGCACGGCCTGGAAAGTAGGGAGGTGGCTGCTGGGCTCCCCCTGCTTGCCCTCAGGCAGGAACCAGATGGAGGGGGGGCTGGTTTTGCTCTGATCTGTTCCAAGGCCCATATCCCTGTTTGCCAGCAGACAGCAGTGGGCTTGGAGTTCGAGTCCTAGACCTGCAGAGTAGAAGCCGCCTTGGAAATTCTGCTGTGCAAGAGAGAAGCTGGGAGCCCACTTCCTCTCAGGCTGCGCACACCGCGCGTGACAACATTGCAGTGGTCTCCAGGGAACCTGGCATTCTCTGCGCTCCTGGGCAGGTCCTTAAACCGCCAGTCCCTGCCTGGGATTGTGTCCTCCCAGTACACACTGGTGTAGGGCGCAGCAGGAAGCGAAAGGGCCTGAGCGCTCTCTGTTTGTGGAAATCCCGGAGCACTCATTAAGCAAGCAGAACGAGGCAGGTCCGTATGCACTCGTATGGAGAGAAGTGTGCTGTGCTTGTTAGGGGAGATGTTTATAAGTAGCATGGTACCCGTTTATAAAAACACAGTTCTGGGATCTGGATGCGCGTGTGAATGTGTACGGGTAAAGCATGTAACTTACGCATGACTGTAAAAAGTCTACAAAGGGAAACTCGGAGCAGTGGTGCGTGCCTGTAATCCCAGCTGTTTGGGGAGGCTGAGGCAGGAGGATTGCAAATTTGAGGCCAGTTTGAGAAACTTAGCAAGGCCTTGTCAATAAACAAACAAGCAAACAAAGGCTGGAGGTGTAGCTCAGTGGTAAAGCACCCTAGGTTTGATCCCCAGTTCTGGGAAAGAAAACCTCTAAATGGGTACTTGCCTGATAATAACAGTTTGTTGGGGGAGTGGTGGTCCTGAGGGTAGGGAGTTAAAATAGGAGCTTTAACCTTCAACACTAGGATTTTATGCTGTTAGAGTTTTTATAATATGTTTGATTTTTATTACTAATTAAGTTTATTTTTAATACATAGAACAAAATACACACTAAAGATTGCCATGTGATGTTTCAGTTATATATACAATGTACAGACATATATATTTCCTTAAACATTTTTCATTCCTTTATGGTGAAAACATTCTAAATCCTTTCTTCGAGCTTTTTGATATACAAGGTGTGATAAAAATACAGTGCATGTTTAATTTTTTTTACAAGATTTATTATAGTAAAAAACACATTCCTATGAGTCCCCTTCACTTCAAACACACGGAGTCCCTCATTCTTGCAACTTGCCAAAGCAGTTCTGGAAGAAGTCCTCGTTCATGTGTTTAGTTGTGCTGTCATGGCTGCCTCGATGTCCTGAATCGATTCAAAAAGTTTACCTTTCCTGGTCATTTTGACTTTGGGGAAGAGCCAGGAGTCACACAGGACCAGCTCCATGACTGAATAAGGTAGGTGAGGATGCACTGTATGTGTTTACAAGCCTGCCTTTCTGTTGGGTGGCACAGAAGGCGTTCACTGTATTTTTTATCATACCTTGTAAAGTCTTTTTTTTCTTTGCCATGAGGTCTCACTATGTAGTTCAGGTTGGCCTTGAACTCAGTGATCCTCCTGCCTCAGCCTCCCGAGTGCCAGGATTATAAGTGTGCATCACCACTCCTAGCTAGGACACTCTTTAAAGAGAATTTAAGGAACTGCTTCAGAAAGTAGCAAGAAGCCAGGCATAGTGGCGCATGCCTGTAATCCCAGCACTTGGGAGGCTGAAGCAGGAAGATTTTCATGAGTTCAAACCAGCCTAGAATATGTAGTGAGACCCTGTCTCAAGACAAACTGGCAAAAATGATGTGATATGTTTGAAGCAAGTAGGAGTTTTGAGTAGGATTAATATCAATGTATCTTTTACTGTAATAGATTTAAATTTTCAGCCCTGTGTTTTGCCCACCCCTTGCGTACCATTCGTAACCGTTACTCGTAGTCTTCCTACTGAGCAGTGCTGCCTGGGCACTCCCACCCCTCACTGTAACGTAGTGCCTTTGATCAACCCTTCTCCATGCCTCCCTCCCCTGACTTGTATTACAGAAAAATTGATATTCGAGAGACTGAGTGTTCATTAGTTGAGCCTGCCACCTCCTTCCTTCCTTCCCTGAGCTGAACACCTCCCTTCTCCCTCGCTCTAGATGGCCAGGGACAGGCGTGCATGTTGGAGCACCAGGGGGGGCAGGCTGTCTAGTGCTTGTTCCATCCCTACAAAGCAGGTGACCTTGGGCAAATCCCAGAATTCTCCGGGAGCCTCAGATTTCTCACCTGCTTCCCGGGGAGGCGGAGAGACCCTGAGGGCAAAGGACAGTTGGGAAGGTGCTGTGCCTTGGCTGAGCCCCTCAGCATGGTCCTTAGGCCTCTGGAGGAAGCCTGTGGGTACCTGCGCGCAGTGGGATCCTGCAGCGTGGGGCTGCAGATCGGCTGGACCCCAGCCTGAGCACCTGCGGGGGTCTGAGCTGAGGGGCTGCACTAGACTTGGATCCAGAGAGTGCTTCTTCTGCAGACCCCTCAGACTCCCATGCCTGGGCGGTTATTTTGAAGAGGGAATGCTTGGAAGCCACAGGAGCCTTAGCGAGGGGGTGTGATGGGCGTCCCTGGAGCACAGGACGAGGCGGGCCAACCTGCTGGGCCTCTGACCCTGGGGTTACGCTGGCCCCTGCACCCTTTGATGGCAAAAGCAAACTGGTAAATGGATCCACTTGCACCAGGGTTTCTGGAGAATTTCAGAGGGTCTGTGATCCAAAGGGAGTGTGGACGGCAGTCTCATCTGCATGTCTGTCTGCTCTTTGCAGGTGGAAAGCAGTGATGCACCCAAGGAGCCCGCGACGACCTCCAAGTCCCCATCCATGGCCCAGGACTCAGGCTCCTCAGAGCTGTTACCCAATGGGGACCTGGAGAAGCGGAGTGAACCCCAGCCTGAGGAGGGGAGCCCCGCTGGGGGGCAGAAGGGCGGGGCCCCAGCTGAGGGAGAGGGTGCGGCTGAGACCCCGCCAGAAGCCTCCAGAGCAGTGGAGAATGGCTGCTGCGCACCCAAGGAGGGCCGAGGCGCCCCTGCAGAAGAGGGTGAGTCCCTGGCTCCAGGCAGCCTCTTCCTGCCAGGCGAGCCCTGTGGCCGTGAGGCTTGGGTCTCTGGCAGGGCCAGGACGAGGTTGGGGTAGGCGCTGAAGGTGTGGCGGCCGTGGCTGACTGCAGTCTGCACACATGGCTTATTTGGTTTATTCATGGTGCTTTAAACATTTAAAAAACTAGTTGCCAGAATTTGAAAATCAAGACATTTCACATAAAAATCTGGAGGTTTGGCTTTTTGTGGGGGAAAAAAAAGAGATCTGGCAATAGTAGGTTTGCGTATCGCCAAGGGTTTCTACACTAGGATAATGGGTGTCTCTTCCTCCTCAGCTGGTCAGGGCCTCAGTTTCCCTGCACCTTGACTTGGCTGGCTTTCTTTCCTATGTGGTCTGCAGCTCCCAGGCCCACTGCATGTGGTCCCTGGTCTGGCTGTGCCAGGGCACAGATGCCCTGTTGGGCAGCTGTCTCGGGACCGCCATAACTCGGTTTGCTGCACTGGAAATGTGGTTGCACATTGGCGACCGAGAGGGAAGGGAAAAAGCAGTCTGTGCACTGCCTGGCCCTGGCCTTCGTTTGGGGACTTTTTGGCCCAGCCCTGTAATCCTGGAAAGTTGCCCACTTTTCTCTTTCAGGTTAAGCCAGAGCTTTCAGGGCCAACCAAGCTGTAAACAAGTTAGTAATGAGGACAACTAGCATTTGTATGGGGCGTCACAGTTTACACAGCACTTCCTCATATATTATCACATTTGATCCTCCCAGGGCCTTGCCAGGTTGTTTTGCATATGTGCATTTTAATTTCAAAAAGTCTTCCTTCCAAGTGTGTATGATGGAATGGGGAATTGATTAATTGGCAAAACTTATGTCGAATGGATCCAAACCTAATATTTATGCAGAATAGAGAACATTTCCAGAAAAGAGATTTCTAAACTTATTTTAAAATCTTTCATTCATTATTCAACAAATATTTACGTTGCTCCACTATGTGCAAAGCACTTTCTGAGGCACTTTGCATTTGTTGTTTTATTTACTCCTCCAACAGTTTTATTCAAGAAGTTTTGTTATCAGCCAGGCCTGGTGGCTCATGCCTGTAATGTCAGAACCCTGGGAGGCTGAGGCAGGAGGGTCCCAGGTCTCAGCCCAGTCCCAGCAACATAGTGACTTTGTGAGATCCTATCTCAAAATAAAAAGGGGGTGCCAGGGATTTAGGTCAGTGGTACTGTGCCTGCCTTGCAAGCGTAAGGTCCAGAGTTTGATCCCTGGTACCAAAAAAAATTTTTTTTTTTAAATAAAAAAGGAATTGAGTCGTAGCTCAATGCAAAGGCCCTGGGTTCAGCTCCCAGTAACTCCCTGCAGGTATTATTATCGTCTTAAAGAAAAACGCATCTTACAGAGAGTGATGTGTTTGTGACCCCCAAACCTGCAAGTGGCAGAGCCGGGATTCATGAACGATTCAGGCCTCCTGGGTCTGTCTTGCTTCCTGGGAGTGTTGGGAGCACCTGGGAGGAGTGAAACAGGAAAGGGAGTGACACCCTTCCTCTAGCTCACAATGTGGAGCGTGCAGGAAGCGCTGGAGCCGAGGACCCCTTCCCAGCTAGACTTGCTCCCCAAGGCCATGCTGCTGCCCCAGGGCTAAGCCGGGCGCCCCTGCCTGGCAGGATGGAGTCAGTGCTCCAAGGCTATTCTGTAGCCTTAAGAGCTTAAGTTTGGGGCTTCCCTGTCTGCATTTCAGTTGTTCTTAGGAGTTCTGCACGCAGCCAGCAGGTGTTCACTAAATACCTGTTTGGTGTGTGCTGGGCCCTGTGCTGATTTGGGGAAACCATCATGGACGAAAATTCAGCTCTTGCCCTCCAGAACCTCACAGCTGTTCAGAGGGACTCGACGCTTTAAAATGTTACTATAAGTGATCTAAGGGTAAGGAACTGTGGGCCCCGAGAAGCATGACAGGAGCCTGAGCTGCTCCAGGCTGTTCCTCCTGAGCCGAAGGATGAGCTGTTGCAGGCAGAGTGGAAACATCCCTGTTCCCAGATGTGCTCCAGCGTGGGAGGCAGCAGGGCATCTAGAAGCCACCAGGCAAAGGTGCAGAGAGCCAGGGAGAAAGGAAAGAGGAGGAGTGGGTGGCAGATGGTCAGACCCGGCCTTCAAGGCCACTGTCTCAGGTGTGACCTGTTGGGCTCTGTGACGTGGAAAGATCACTTTGCTGTGTGGACCCGGAACTGATCAGAGGGGCTGGGAAGTGGGATTAGAGGCTAGAAGGCTGCCACAGGTATGCCGGGACAGCAGATGGCTCTGATGAGAGAGGCAGAAGCCAGGAAATGGGAGGTAAGAAGATGGTGTAAAAGGCACTTCCTGGACTGGGGACATTCAGACACGAAGGTGGATTTTCCTTAGAATCTGTGCTGAGCACAGTGGGCACAAATGCTTGGATTTGGCTTTGGGCACTCTGAGTGGCCCAGCTATCCAGGAAGTGGAAATGCTTCTGGGGGCTCCGGAGGCCACTGGGGGCCGAGACTGTGAGGCATTACCTAGGGTGGGCCAAGGCCTGAGGGAGGCTGCCCACGGCTGTGGCAGTCAGCTGATTCGGACTTCATGCTCAGCTGGTACGTTCAGATGAGGAAGGAGCCCAAGGCCCCAGGGAGGAAGTGACTAGGCCTTTGTCTTCTTTCAGTTTTCCTTCATTTGGGCTCTGTACAGGTAGATGATCCCCTTACTTCCTTTACAGCAGAAATGGGGAACCTTAATATAGCATTCTGGTAACCTGGGCATCCACCCTTGTGCGTCCTCAGAGTACAGCCCGGAGACAGGATCAGAAAAAGGAAATAGAGTATGATGAACAATAAGATCAAATGCCAGCACCCAGCTTGGCATGGTGGCACACACGTGTCATCCCAGCTACTTGGGAGACCTAAGCAGGAAGATCACAAATTCCAGGCCAGCCTGGGCAGTTCTGCAAGACCTTGTCTTAAAATTTTAAAAGGCTGGGGTTGAATTTTTAAGCCTCCCCCTGCCTCCAGCACACACACAGAGCCAGCTCCAGGACAGGCAGGTGTCGACTTGGGACCACATCTGCAGGCCTGGCATTAGCTACATCCTGGTCATAGTAACTGTGGGAGCACGCAGTCCATCGCTGAGCACTGACTATGCGTTGGCATGCTGTGTCCTCACTCTTCACGGTGGTCTCCGGCTGGCAGCAGCTGCCTCACCCGGGGAGCTCAAAGGCTGGATCCAAAGCTCCACCTCAGACCTACTGAGGCAGCATGTGCCTTAAAGAGACCCTTGCGATTTTGATAGCATTGTGGTCTGAGAAGCCCCAGCCTTACTTCATTCTTGTCTTCATATAAGGAAGTCTTATCCTTATTCTCCAGATGGGGATATTGAAGGTTCAGAAAGGTTAAATTAATTACCTAAGATGATATAACTAGTAAAGGACCACATAGGTCAGCACAGATCTGCTCTTTGCGAAGTACTGAATTAGGGACTGGCCTCAGCCCTGTTGGGAATATTTGGGTTCATTTTAAAGAGAACTTGGAATGGCTCCTGGAGTCAGACCAAAAGGTAAGTGTGAGATGCCCCTATCCTCCCCTTCCCTGCCCCTGCCCAGCCCCAGCCCCAGGACCAGAGGTGTCCTGGAGTCGTGTTCCTGCCTGCCAGGGCCACCCTGGAAGGCACTCAGCCACCTGGCCCTGCCTGGAACCCTGGGCCTGGGCCAGGAGCAGATGGGCTGCAGAGGGAGCATATAAGCGAGCAGCTGACTCTGCGGCCGCGACAAGTGCCGCATTCGGAGGCAGCCAGATCTGTTGTTTGTCGGGCCAGGCTGGAACGTGTGTGCAGTATCACCCAAGTGGGCATGCGCAGAGTCTGTCACGGAGAAAATTCCAGAAAGAAGCCAGTTGGAAACTGCATTAGGGAAAGTCATCTGTTTGGGGGAGCGTGGGGACTGAGGAATTGGATGGGAGAACGTCTAGGAATAATGTTGGTGCACAGGAGGAGCCGGCTTGAGAAACAGGGATTCTCAGATCTGGTCTGATCTCAGATCTGGCAGTAAATCACTCCACTCCCCCAGCCTCAGTTTCCTCCTTCGAAAAATTGAGGGGCTGGACAAGTCTCCAGTCATCTCTACAGTTTCTTTCAGCCCTGACTTTCTCCCAGTCTCATGCTACTGGCGGGTGGGAGTCGCAGGTCGGAAGCCTTTCGGGCCGGGCCAAAAGCGGCAGAGGTGGAATGCAGCCCAGGGACCCGACCTCTGCGGCTCCAGCTGCGGCCTGTGTGGCCCGATCCCGCCCACACACCCCCGGCCGA